CATACATTAGTTTTTACTAAATGCTAAAAGTAGAAAAGTTTGGAAAGCATGTCCCCAAACTCTGCTCGAAAAAAGGATGTTTTCCTTACTATAATATTGTTATAGGCCCAATGTGCATTATCCTTGAATATTTGCCCTATGGCGATCTCCTTGGCTACTTAAGGCGATCACGTGGTCACGAAGATACCTACTGCTCGGGAGATCTTCGTCCAGAGACAAAGTTGACATCACGTGATTTATTGAAGTTCGCCTGGATGATAGCTGATGGAATGAGTTTCTTAGCAGAAAATAAGGTCAGTGTTAAAGGTCAAGTGGACATGTCATGCTGGCTTACTAGGCTTGTCATCACATTCTTGTGAACACAAGACCTTAGTGCAAAAAATGACCATTAAGTGTTACGATTTCAGTGTGTTCATCGTGATCTTGCTGCTCGTAATGTTCTTGTTGGTGAAAATAAAATCTGCAAGATATCAGATCTTGGACTTGCAAGGAGAATCAGAGAGGACGTCTACACCAGAACAAAAGCAGTGAGTATGGAAATAATACAAACTTCTATTGTGGAATATGTTGTGAAAATGTCAGATCTCGGCGGCGTCTATAACAGTTTCTGTCTTCAAGTTAAACATGTTTGATGAGGAAAGGCCAGTGGTTATTTAAACTGCACGCAACTAATAGCACCAAGAGCTCAGAGACGCTTTTTAAGGCTTATCACGATTTTGTCTTTGCTATTTCCTCAAGGCTCGATTACCAGTAAAGTGGATGCCACCAGAGTCGCTTTTCCATGGGGAGTCGTCCATTGCTAGCGATGTGTAAGCAAATATGGCATTTCATTGATATACGGGTTGTTTCTTGATGATACAAATATAAATAAAATTAATGTCATCTATCTTTTTACGTTTTTATAAAATGATTTTCAGGTGGTCTTATGGAGTTGTTTTATGGGAAATATTTACTCTAGGTAAGTGTAAGTTTCAAAGCTACTTCAAATATGATAACTGACTAGTAATAACCTCTAAAGAGGTAACATCTCCAATCTCAATGTCAAATTGATTTGTATGTCTTCAACCAGGTAGTTCTCCTTATCCTAAATACAACGGGAAAGACATACCAAGACTGCTGCAACAAGGCTACAGAATGCCAAAGCCACTCCACCTATCGGAGACTCTGTGAGTTGAATTCACCTATTTGATGACACTGCACGTATCACTCTTAAATTTTCAGAGTTTTTTCTAAAGAACATTTTTTAGTTCCATGGATCTCAAGATGGATGATGGCATCAATCATAGACATGATTTTTACATAGTGGAAATATAATTCTCATGTGCCATGAATTGGTCAATGCTTAAAAAATTGATATGCATGTAGTTGTCAGCCAATAGAAGAAGCAGTTAATTGGAAATGCGCTTATTCGTGACAAACAGGCAGTGGTCTCACTCATGGGCCACGAATTCAGCCATAACTAGATTAAGCATGTGTCACAATTATAAGATTCACAAGGCATGACTCAATAGTCAGCTAACA